CGTTTACAAGTTGGCAAATAAGCTGCCAATAAAACCTCGGGTGGGTGATGGAGTAAAGAAGAGTCCAGGGGTGGCGAAAGGAAGTGCACAAACTATCGCTGTGGGAGGTCCAAAGGGTGACCCTAGCACCCCTGCTCCTCGCGGCTTTCTGGCTCTAAAGCTGACCCCGGAGCAGCACGACCCGCACTGCACGCGGAAGGAAGACACGTCTCCGGGCGAACCCGGGTGCCGCTCGGCTCCTCGGACCCCCAGCACCGAGGCTGCGAGTGCGGCGGCCCGGGACGCCGGGAGGACCGCCGGGAGGACCGGGAAGGCGCGACCGCACCGGGCCGCAACGCCCTGCCTTGCGCGTGGGACCTGTAGAGGCCGCTCGCGCCCACGCCTACCAGAGGAGGACGCGCGGCAGGCCGCGGCCACCTCCGACTCAACAGACGCGGCCTCCGGGAGTGGAACTCGCAGGCCGGCCGCCCACCCGCGCCCCACGTTTCCCGCCCCACAACGTATCGGGCGGAGAAAGGCAAAGTTTTGCTCTCGCCGTTAGGCCTGAACTTTCCCGCCCGCCGGTGCAAGTCTCCACCGTCTGCCACCCCGCAGTCCCCAGGGCCCCGGCCTTCCGTACTGCTGAGAGACTTACTCCGACTGTTCCCGCAGACACGGAGCCTCGGCGGCGGCCATCTTGAACTTCCTGACTCGTCGGTGGCGGCGGCTGCCCGGGCGGTGGAGGCTGGTGTAAGGGGAGGAAGAGGGAGCAGAGCCGGCGCGCATGTGCTGAGCGCGCAGGGCACCGTGGAGCTCCGAGTCCGCTCTAAGAATCCAGATATAAAAGTGCATCCGGGGACAGGGCGAGCGAGCGTGATGACGCAACTTCCCCAGGCGGGGGAGGGGCGCGAGGAGCGGCGGGCGGCGCCTGCTGAGGGTTCGAGGCCGAGGGACCGGCATGCGCTGTGCGCGGGCCAACGTCAGAACCGAACTAGATCTGGGAACCTGCTGGAGAGGGAGGCGCCGGGACTCGGTGCGCCGTCGGTCTCGGGTGTTCTCACGGGGGCCCAGGAGCTGAGTTAAAGTTCTCAGACTACGGCAAACAAAATGATGGTTTTGCTTCTGAGCTGCGTTGGAGGCGTAGTGAATGCCTCTTGACTGGCTGGATAATTCAACCAGAAGTCGCATGAAGGGCAAGCTTGTAGAAAGGCATACTGAGAATACTGGAAAGTTAGAGTTGCACTTAGAACGTAAATGTATTTTAATATGTAACCGTTATTGATACATTTATTTAAAACATGAACTTTGTTTCCATTTTTGCCAAATCCAGGGGTAATGCCAGGAGTCGTTAGGGTCATTGGTTCTGTAAATTGAAGTTTTAAGTAATATTTTGGTTCAAATGATGTTTTTCTATAATAATGGACTACAGTAATGGGACTAGGTGAAATACTATATGAAAAAACATTTATTGACTCTTGGAGAGCTTTCAGTACCGTGTGGGATTTTATGTCGCTCTCGGAAAAAAAGGTACCATTCTCTGTTCTCCGGCACCTGGAAGCAGGGTGACCATTGCTTTTATTCTTAAAAACAATTGAGTTTGGGTTTGTCCTGGAAGTTGAGCTCAGAATATCTGGGCTTCTTATATATCTTAAATTTTCAGAGGGGAAGAGTTACAAATATTCTTAAAAAATAAGTACCTGTTTGGCTGAGTCCCAAACATGTTAAAATGTTAAGTGTTTTCCCCACATGGACTCTATTAATATGGAATACCAAATTAACCTTTGGATAATTATTGATTTTTGTGGATTCCCCATTGTAGCATTTCTTTATATCAGGGATCCTCAAACTACGGCCTGCGGGCCACATGCAAATACAAATATTGTATTTGTTCCCGTTTTGTTTTTTTACTTCAAAATAAGATATGTGCAGTGTGCATAGGAATTTGTTCATAGTTTTTTTTTAAACTATAGTCTGGCCCTCCAACGGTCTGAGGGACAGTGAACTGGCCCCCTGTTTAAAAAGTTTAAGGACCCCTGCTTTATATAGTCCTTAATTATATTGTTTTCTTCATGAAGGATTTCTCTCTCCTTAACAATCAGGTTCAGGTATAATAACTTGAAAGACTTCTTTCAATGAATAAGTTTTCAGAGATATGTTAAAAATGGTTTATGTTTTAACCATATGCTTATTTATGTACTAATAGTGTATAAGTTGGGATTTCAGACTATTAGTTCTAACTATTCCTCCCTCATCCCTATTTATCTTTTTAAAGTATTACTAATTCAGCCTTGTATGAACAGTTCATTGTATTATCTGCTCCCTGCCCTCATGAAGGCAAGGCAATGTGTCATTTTATCAATAGCTCCAATATGTTATTAAAATAACAAAAAATAATAAATTATATATATAAAATCCTAATATGCAAATAGGCCAAATGGCAGAACAGCTGAACAACTGGTCACTATGACGTATGCTGACCAACAGGAGGCACACGCGGAACATGGTGGACGTTGGCCACAGCAGGATGATGGAGCAGGTGAGTGGAGCCGCCAGACCAAGGTGGGGCGCCAATCGCTGTCATGGGGTGAGCCTCTGGTGCTTACTGAAAATTCTTTGCTCCCGTGCACCGCAGTCCCACTGGGCACTCGCACCTGCTGCCGGCACTGGCCCCACTCACACCTGCTGATCGCTTGGCGCTGTCAGCAGGTGCAAGTGGCAGCTGCCAGCCCCGATCACCCCTCAGGGCTTCTCCACCTACCTCCTGAGGGGCGATCAGGGCCAGCAGCCACCTCTCACACCCGCTGCCAGTGCTGGCCCCAATCACTCCATGCCAGTCAGCGGGTGGGAGCGGGGCTGCTGCCAGATGGGACCAGGAGCTGTGGAAGGAGGTGCCAGGTGCGAGTGCTCAGGAAGGGTCGAGACCTGCCCCTGTGCCCACTGCAGCCTCATGGCCCACAGTTCCTTTCATGGCCCAATTCATGCACTGGGCCCCTAGTTTTTAAATAGTTTTAAAATTAAATAATCATAGCGTATGTAGTACAAACCTATTACAGATCACATTTTGGAAATAACTGCAACCCTATAAGGGATCTTTACCTTGGATATACTCTAAAGTAGTATAATATACTAAAGGCAAAAAGTCTAGCAAACTGGTGTGAAAAGGTAAGGTAACTTGCTTGTGATGACTCAGTTTCTAAGTGGCAAGCCAGGATTTGAATTGAAATCGAACTTCCAAGTCTTTGCTCTTTCCTTCTTAACATGAAGCTTCCCACAGAAATGTCATTTGTTTAGCATCTTACTGAGTACCCACTAACACAGCTCTTTCATATTAAAATATTTTTTAATTTTTTAAAATTTTTTTCCTTAATTTATTTTTATTTATTTTTTTTCTAGTTTGATTTTTTTTTTTATTTTTTGCTAAAAGTATTACAAAGGGTATTACATATGTGTCCTCCCCCCCCCCCGCCCTTGACAATCCCCTGCCCTCCCTTACCCCACAGTGTCTTATGTCCATTAGTTATGCTTATATGCATGCATACAAGTCCTTCAGTTGATCTCTTACCCCCCTCCCTCCTGCCCCCCAACCCTCCCTGGTCTTCCCACTGCAGTTTGACAATCAGTTTGAGGCAGCTCTGCCTCTGTATCTATTATTGTTCAAAAGTTTGTAATGGTCTTTATTATCCATGAATGAGTGAGATCATGTGGTATTTTTCCTTCATTGACTGGCTTGTTTCACTTAGCATAATGCTCTCCAGTTCCATCCATGCTGTTGCAAATGGTAAGAGTTCCTTCTTTTTTACAGCAGCATAGTATTCCAACGTGTAGATGTACCACTGTTTTCTAATCCATTCATCTACTGATGGGCACTTAGGCTGTTTCCAGATTTAGCTATGGTGAATTGTGCTGCTATGAACATATGGGTGCACATATCTTTTCTGATTGGTGTTTCTGGTTTCTTGGGATATATTCCTAGAAGTGGGATCACAGGGTCAAATGGGAGTTCCATTTCCAGTTTTTTGAGGAAACTCCATACTGTCTTCCATAGTGGTTGCACCAGTCTGCATTCCCACCAGCAGTGCACAAGTGTTCCTTTTTCTCCACATCCTCTCCAGCACTTGTCGTTTGTTGATTTGTTGATGATAGCCATTCTGACAGGTGTGAGATGGTACCTCATTGTTGTTTTGATTTGCATCTCTTGGATGATTAGTGACTTTGAGCATGTTTTCATATGTCTCTTGGCTTTCTGAATGCCCTCTTATTCAAATATTTTTTTAAGTAAAAGGGAAAGATCACTGTACTGATGTCCAGAAATACTTATTTTCCCAAGGTCCAGAGGCTGTAATCTCTTTCTTGTTGCTGATTAGTGGAGAGCTCATAGGCCTATCTCAGTTTCCTTAAATCACATTATATTCCCTGGTCCCCTTTGGCTCCATAATTCTTGGCAGTATGCTTTATGTGAGAATTAAACTAAGCACACTGAGCCCTAGCTGGTTTGGCTCAATGGATAGAGTGTCAGCCTCTGGACCAGAGATTCCCGGGTTCCATTCCAGTCAAGGGCACGTAACTCAGTTGCAGGCTCCTCCGCGGCCCAGGCCCTAGACAGGGTGTTTGCAGGAAGCAACCAATCGATGTGTTTCTCTCACATGGATATTTCTGTCTTTCCCTCTCCCTTCCACTCTCTCTTAAAATCAATGGAAAAATATCCTCGGGAGAGAATTAAAATAAACAAACAAACTAAGCACACTGAGTAGAGGGAAGATGAATGGGGGAAGTAGGCACTAAGGCTGTTCAGGTTTGAAGCCAGATTATGACTAGCTAAAGTTTAGATTTGGATAAACCATTCAAGTTTGTAAAAAAGAGCATAGCAGCCCAGCCAGCAAGGCTCAGTGGTTGAGTGTCAACCTATGAATAGGTCACAGTTCTATTCCTGGTCAGAGCACATGCCCGGGTTGCAGGCTGGATCTCCAGTGTGGGGTGTGCAGGATGCAGCCGATCAATGATTCTCTCTCATCATTGATGTTTCTATCTCTTCTTCTCCTTCCTCTCTTGACATTGATAAAAATATATTTTTTAAAAAGAGCATAGCAAAAATAAAGTTTAAGAAAATGATGCTAGCAAAATACTTCTTTAAAATTTTCTCACCAAGGTACTAACAGTATGCAGTGTATACTAGGAAGGGGATTTGTCAAGGACTCACTCAAAACTGAACAACCTGAATGGTCAGAAAGACAAACAGGTGGGTCCTAGAGCCCACCTCTAATTATCTGGTTATTAAATTAAGCCTGAAACATACATCACTTGAGGCAAAAATGACAAAACTGAAGCTATTTGTACATTGGGCACATCATGAAAAGGCGGTTCCTTTGGAAAAGACAATAATGCTGAAAAAATAAAAGGCAGCAGGAAGAGGAAGACCAAATATGAGATGGATTGACTCTACACAGAAGCCATGGACATGAGTCTACAGGACCCAAGCAGAGTCATGGAGGACAGGACTTTTGTGGACATCACTCAGTCTCCGGTAGTAGGAGCCAAATCAACTGCAGGTAACACACACACACACACATCCTTATGTTGCTGTTGTAGTTTTAGAAGATGGTTTTTTAATGGTAGAGTTAAAATGGAAGTAAACATCCACCTACTCCTTTAATCATTGTTATAGGTCCCTCTCACAGACACCAGAGAGGTGTAATCAGACAGCCCTGAGTCAGAAGGAGAGGGCTGTCCCTACCCCAGTTCTTGTCTTCTCATATATATCAATTTAAATGAAAGAACCTGATTGCATTGTGATAAAGCCAATTTTATTAAAGCAATTAAAGCAAACACATTTATTAAAGAAGCAAGGCAAGCAAATCTATCTCCAGGTATAACGTGCACAGATGGGCTCTTAGCTAATCTGGAGAGTGATGAATTGGGTGGGGTTTGAGGCGTTAGATACCCTCCTGTCTATAGGTTTCAGAATTCCTCTGCTGAATGTCTTGGTACAGATTAATTCTCAGGTCACTTTACTTTGTTGTGGCCTTCCCAGAATTCATGAAACGCACCTAGCAATTTTATCTTGCCAAGCCTTGAGACTTCTGGCTTTTGTGTTTAGGGAGCAAAAAATAAAATTGCCTTCCCTGCATTCTCTCCTTAGGGAGGCTTTTAACCATTTGCTCTCAAGAATTCTGGGCTGGGGAAGATAATGGCTTGTTATTTACAAGCTGGCTTCAAATTGCCCCCAGTGTTTGGGCTTGTTTTTAATATATTTTATTGATTTTTTACAGAGGGATAGAAAGTTAGAAACATCGATCAGCTGCCTCCTGCACACTCCCCACCGGGGATGTGCCCGAAACCAAGGTACATGCCCTTGACCGGAATCGAACCTGGGACCCTTAGTCCCCAGGCCTACGCTCTATCCACTGAGCCAAACCGGTTAGGGCTGGCCTTGTTTTAACTTTCCTACTTCAGTTTCCCGATTCCTCTTGCCCTGGAGTTTTCCCAGCTTCTACTGCCCTGTAACAGTTCAGCAAGTGTTTATGAAGCGACAAACTTTCCACTTTCAAACTAAAACCCCAACTTTTCATTCTTGCTGTTCTTCCTCCGCCGATTCAGGAACATTTGCTCTGGAAAGCTGCCCAGCAGGAACCATTTCATAGCAAGCCCGGCAGAGAAGCAGCTTAGGAATGGAACTCACCCGGATAAATCCCCAGAGGGGCGGGGCCTCAGCGAGCTGGCGCTTCCCGGTGGGTGGGCTCCCGACCTGCGCCCCGCCCCGGAAGTCGCGTGAGTGCGTAGCAGGAAAAGGTGGGCGGGTCTGCAGTCCTTTACAGTTCTGGCCCTGGAGCTACGGCTCTAGGCAGAGCTTCCTGCTTCTGGTCGGAGCCTTCGCGCTCCCTCCGGGCCGGCGTTTGCTCCGTGGAGCCGAGCCAGCTCCGCAGTCACTGTCAGGCTCCGCACTGTTGCCGCCATTACAGTCGGGCGGTTTCCCGGCTCCAGCCCTGGCGGAGGCCCACCTACCGGAGAATCCCGCGTCCCTAGGACCTCGCGGCGGCCGCATTCACTAAAGCGGGGATTGTTTTGCTGAAGAGATCGTGAAAGCTGAGCGCTTGGCGTCCCCCACCCCCGACCCCCAAACAGTACCGAACAGGTTTGCGGGTCCGGAGACGGCGTTTTGGGGACAAACATGCATTTTTGAACATTTCGACTTGTTCTTGCCATCATTTCTTTCAAGTATTATTACTTTCATGCAAGATACACATTCCCGAACTAGTGTGATAATGCCTTTGAATTACCTTCCTCCCGTCGAAAAGTGTAAACTAAGCTACACTGGCATCGCCAGTCGCGTTAGGCTCATTATAACGTAGGCTGTACACAAAAATGAAGAGCTCCATAAAATCCCTTGCAGGAAACTGGTCTGTGAAAGACTCCCCAGATCGCCTTGTGGATAATACTTAAGTTTTTATCTAGTTTAAATCTAGATTTGAAATTTGTAGCCGTTTGGGAACATACTGGGCTGTTCTTCCTTTATTACAGAACAAAAACTTTTCCCTTTGTTTCATGAAAATTAATTTAGCTTTTTTGTTGTTTGTTTTAAAGCAGTTCTGATGCGTTCATGAAAATCTAGAATATATAAAGCAAAAGGAAACAAAAACCACCCGGAGTTCCATTGTCCAAACTGGACCAACGTTAACATATCGGTGTGTTTTGGCCTATTTCCATATGAAATAATAACTTTGCTTGTGCTCGTGTATGAAATGCGATATTTTCCCTTTTCATGGAATATGCCCGTCAGTTTTTACATAGTTCTAGTTTAGTAAACACTTTTGTAACTACATGGTGTCCCTTTCCTTTGTTACTGGTTGTCTCAGTCCTTTCAGTTTGCACTATTGCACATGAGTGTGATGAGGCAGAATCTAGAATTGCATTTAGAACATGACCATTCAAGCCAGAGAGACCTGGGCTTCACCACTTGCTCTGCAACTTCAAACAATGTATTTACTAGTAACCTTTTTGGGCCTCATTTTGCACGAGTAACACAAAAATAATAATTCTCATCACACAGAGTTATTACAAGAATTAAATGAAACAATGAATGAAAGTGCCTGGAACATATATTAGTAAATACAAGCTTTGTCTGTAGGCAATGTTTGTTTTGGGTTTTAATTTGTTTCTTTTTTTCTGTAAACCACATGGTTTATTTCCAGATTTCATATATAGTTAAATGCTACCACCACTGGATGTGGGGATTTTATACACAGCTCTTTATACAATTTATTACATAGTAATACATACAAGCATAAATACTACATACATTAAAAATCTTTTTTGCAATAAGAAAAAATGAAAAATGTCTATAATCCTACTACCTATAAATAATTTTTATTCACATTGTATAATAGGGCTTATCCTTTCTCACTTTTTTATACATTTACACATATATGAATGATATTTTTTAAATAGGGTTGTATAATAAATTCAGGTTAATAACTTGCTGAGGACAACAAAGAAGTCCAGTGTAAAGAGAATGTAGTGGTTAAAGAAGTGGAAAATAAAGCTGGAAAGGATTTGGATTTCATTTAAAATTTGACATTTAATTTGTTATAGAAGGTTCACTTTGCTGTTGTGTGAAGATAGATAACAGGGCTCAGGGTGGAAAGGTGGAATCCAGGTAGTGTAATTCAGTAATCCCGTGATTGACGGTGGAAATAGAAAAAGTGATTGGATTCTGGATATGTTTTGAGGACAGGCTGTAGAATTCACATATTGATTGGATGTGGGATGTGAGAGTCAGAAACTTAAGTTTTTGCCTGAGCAATTGGATGGTTGTAATTGCCACTTAGAGAGGAAATGAAGGAGCAGATTTTTAACCCTTTGAGTGCCAACCAATATCCTAGGAACTATGCTAAAATTGCCAAGGCATTTTGAGTTAAGGTTCTTAAAATTTTTTGCCCCACATAAAGAGTGAACTACTAGCAACTAATAGTGACACTGCAGGAGGAGCATGATAGCGCACTTTTGGTGAAAGACAGGAGGGAAGCGCTTGCGCTCCCTGGCACTTTAGGGGTTAAAGGTGGGGGGGCTGGGGGAGGGGGGGAGGGGAGGATGAAGAGTTCTGTTTTAGTCCTTATAATTCAGAGTCTATTAGATGTCTGCTGAATGTGGAGTCTTAAAGACTTCAATTATTGTTGAGTTTTCCATTTCTACCTTCATTTTTGTGAGTTTTTGCTACACTTTTTTTTGGTTCTCTGTTATTAGATACATACATGTTTATAAATGTTACAGTTTCCTGTTGGATTGACATTTATTAGAAAATGTCCTTATTTTTCTCTAATAACATTTAAAATAATTTATTTGCTTGACATTACAACTTTCTTATGGCTGCTACTTACATGATTTGTACCATTAAATCTAAAGTGTGTCTCCTCTAGACAGCATACAGTTATATCTTGGTTTTTTTAGCCTAATCTAGTGATCTACCTTTTGAATAGATTATTTACTCTGTTTGTTTATTTATTTTAAAAATGTTTTTATTGATTTTTAGGGGGAGAGAGAGAGAGAAAGAGAGAGAGAAATATTGATGTTCACATCAATATTTGAGCCCAAAACCTGGGCATGAGCCCTGATGGGGAATCAAATCAGCAACCTTTGGGTTCACAGGACAGTGCTCAACTAACTGAGCCACACCAGGTAGGGCTGTATACTCCATTGATGTTCAGTGTTATTGATATAGTTGAGTTATGCCTCCCATTTTTACTTTTTGTTTTCTGTATGTCTCATATCTTTTGTGTTCCTCTATCCCTTCTTTACCGCTTTCTATTGCATTCAGTGAATATTTACTCCTGCAGCAGTTTAATTTTTAATTGATTTTTTTCACTTTTTAAAAAGTTAATTCCTTAGTGGTTGCTCTAGGACTTGCCATATACGTCTTAGAGCAGTGATGGCGAACCTATGACAGGCATGTCAGAGGTGACACGCGAACTCATTTTTTTGGTTGAGTTTTCTTTGTTAAATGGCATTTAAATATATAAAATAAATATCAAAAATATAAATCTTTGTTTTACTATGGTTGCAAATATCAAAAAATGTCTATATGTGACACGGCACCAGAGTTAAGTTAGGGTTTTTCAAAATGCTGACACGCTGAGCTCAAAAGGTCCGCCATCACTGTCTTAGAGTCAGCATCAGATTTACAACAACTTAATTCCAATGAGATTGAAAAATCTTACTCCAACATAGTTTTGTTTCCCTGCTTTTTGTGATATAATTATTATACATACTAGTGCACAAATTTTTGTGCACTGGGGGGGGGGTCCCTCAGCCCAGCCTGTGCCCTCTCGCAGTCTGGGAACCCTCGGGGGATGACCACCTGCTGGCTTAGGCCTGCTCCCTGGGGGGTTGGGCGCCTAAGCTGGCAGTCAGACATCCCTCTGGCAGCCCGGCAGCCCTCGGGGGATGTCCACTTGCCAGCGGGGAGCAGGCCTAAGCTGCAGTCGGACATCCTTAGCGCTGCAGAGGAGGTGTGAGAGGCTCCCACCACCACCGCTGTACTGGCAGCCGTCAGCCTGGCTTGTGGCTGAGCAGAGCTCCCCCTGTGGGGAGTGCACTGACCACCAGGGGGCAGCTCCTGCATTGAGCATCTGCCCCCTGGTGGTCAGTGTGTGTCATAGTGACCAGTCATTCCCAGTCATTCTGCTGTTAGGGTCAATTTGCATATTACCCTTTTATTATATAGGAGTGCCTGGCCATCCTGGGTGAGGGGCTGATGGCTGTTTGCAGGCTGGCCACAGCCCCTTCAGGGTGGGGTCCCCCCTGGGGTGCCTGGCCAGCCTGGGTGAGAGGCTGATGGCTGTTTGCAGGCTGGCCACAGCCCCTTCAGTATGGGGGGTCCTGCTGGGGTGCCTGGTCAGTCTGGGTGAGGGGCTGAGGGCTGTTTGCAGGCTGGCCACTTCCCCCAGCCACCCCAGCTCCCAGTGGAGGCTGGCTGGAAGCAGGTATCTGGGATTTATTTGTCTTCTATAATTGAAACTTTGTTGCCATGAGCAGAGGCCACAGCCGGCTCAGGGCAGGCAGGAAGCTTGGCTTCCTCCATTGCCCAGGCAACCAAGCCTCCTGCTTGCTCCAGCTCCTTGGCTGCCGGCCGCCATCTTGGTTGGATTAATTTGCATATAGTCGCTCTGATTGGCTGGTGGGCGTGGCTTGGGGCTTAGCGAAGGTACTGTCAATTAGCATCTTTGTCTTTTATTAGTGTAGATTGTATCTATAAATGTTACAAACCTAACAATATATTGTTATAATGGTTATATCTTTTTAAAAAAATATATTTCTATTGATTTCAGAGAGGAAGGGAGAGGGAGAGAGAGAATCATTGCTCGGCTGCCCCTGCATGTCCCTCACTGGAGACTGAGCCCGAAACCTGGGCATGTGCCCTGACCGGGAATCCAACCATGACCAACCACTGAACCACACCAGCTGGGCTAATGGTTATATCTTTTAAAGAAGCTGGAAGAAGAAAGGAGAAGTTCATATTTATAGCTTTTATTATATTGACCTTATTGATCATTTCTGGTTGTCTTTATTTCTTGTTCTTGTTGATTCAAGTTACCATCTGGAATGATTTCTTTAGCCTAGAACAGCTTTGCTCCTACTGACTTCTGCTGTACTTTATTAACAAATATTTCTATACTAGAGGCCTGATGCACGAAGATTCGTGCAAGAATGGGCCTTCCTTCCCCTGGCTGCCAGCACTGTCTTTGTTCTGGCCCGGAGCCGCCTTTCTGCCTTCTCACACTGCCCAGAGGCCCGAGCGGCTGGGGCGGTGTGTCCCGCCCTGCCCCCAGCCGCTTGGCGCCTGCGTATGCAAATCAACCTGTCATCTTTGTTGGGTTAATGTGCATACTCCTGATTGGCTGGTGGGCATTGCGAAGGTACGGTCAATTTGCATCCTTCTCTTTTATTAGTGTAAATGGTACATTTTTTAAAAAATATTTTACTGATTTTTCACAGAGAGGAAGGGAGAGAGATAGAGAGTTAGAAACATCGATTAGAGAGAAACATCAATCAGCTGCCCCCTGCACATCTCCCACTGGGGATGTGCCCGCAACCCAGGTACATGCCCCCGACCGGAATCGAACCTGGGACCTTTCAGTCCGCAGGCCGACGCTCTATCCACTGAGCCAAACTGGTTTCGAATGGTACATTTTTATATGTTATAGGCTTAGTGATACATATATTGTTTGGTGCAATTGCTTTGTTTCATGTGTGCATTTAATATATATATTTTATTATTGATTTCAGAGAGGAAGGAAGAGAGAGAGAGACAAATGGAAACATCAACGATGACAGAATCACCGATCAGCTGTCTCTTTCATGTCCCCCACCAGGGACCGAGCCCTCAACCTGGGCATGTGCCCCAGCTGGGAATTGAACCATGACCTCCTGGTTTATAGGTCGATGTCCAACCACTGAACCATGCTGTCCAGGCTGATAGTGGTTTCTTTGCTTCTTTTCCTCACATACCCAGATGTTAAACTCCACCAATTTCTGGC